CGTACCATACCCCGACGTACCATACCCCGACGTACCATACCCCGACGTACCATACCCCGATGTGCCATACCCCGACGTGCCATATCCCGTATTGTAAATCCCAGAAACTCCTTGCCCATACCCTGCCCCGTACCGTTGCAAATTGTAATTATTCTGATTGTAATTCACGTTACTGGATCCCGCACCGTACAAACTGTTATACCCACTTGTTGAATACCCGTTATTGTAGTTTGAGCTATAATTCGGGTATCTGCTAGTTGAGTAGCTGGAGTATCCATAAGAAGGGCTGTAGCTGGGGTAACGCGTAGCTTCAGGAAAATTACTTATATCGCTGCCGTAGCTTCCAGTTTTGTATGGAAAGTTGGTGTATAAACTTGATATAGTTGAGCTAGGATATCGATTAGTCGAATCGTATTGATAAGGATAGGTCGCGCACTCGATATAGGCGAAAATACTGAATAGCACTATGCGAAACATGACAATGGCCGCTGCGCGCGTCGCGTGATGTGCCTCGGTAGTTTATGTGCGACTGCGCCGCTACTATGAGAGTGGATATAAACTAATTAGGATTAATTGACTACACGTCAAGAAAGAGTGGGGTAACTCAAAGTTTCTACATTAATACGGAAACGACAAGCTATGTCAAAGATCCCAGATAGAAGATAATACGTATGGGTATAGCAGTTCGCAATATCTCAATGTAGTAGTCACATGTGATCATTGGTCAAAAGTGTTTTTATCATATGAAAGTCATAAAATGATACGAACTACACGAAACAAATTATGTGTATGTGAAATTTAATTTAACCGCTTCTTTTCATCACCGCGTGAGTGTTGGCCGGAGCAGCATTGTACGCTCGTGAACCGGTTCGATAGTCCCTTGCTATGGCACCGAATACAAAGAGTCATAGGTGTAATTTAAATTATGTAATGTAATTTTAATGTCATGAAATTTAAATAAGTACTAACATAGTTAGTACACTAACTAACAAATTATGGAAACTTTTTCTGATATATAAAGTATAATAATACTAAATATTATATTAAATATTATAATAAATATAAATATATTATTACTTTAATATATTAAATTAATAAAATAATAAATATATTATTAATATTATAATTATAACTCTCCTATTTAAGGACAAAAAAGTTTAAATTTGAATTGAATTGATATTCAATAATTTTTTGTGAAAGTCATTTCACAAAAAATAATTGAACAATCAAATGTTGAATAACAAATAGTTTGTTATAATTATTAATACAAAGATCGACCACTCCCTTCGATCCGGCCGGATTCGAACCGACGTCTTCTAGCAAACCGTGCCAGAAGCTATGCCAACTACGCCACAGAACGAACCAGCGGACCTCACGAATCTTTCTGTGTGCTTGTTGTTGTTGTTGGATATTTGTATTTGGTTTTTCAACGACTTTTTAACCGTAGCGACATCTATGAAAGTATTTTGTCACACAGTTAAGTAACTTTACAGCTAGCAGCACTGCCAGAGTTGTCGCTATTAACTATATTTAAATGTGTATTGAATCCCACAAAAAGTTATCGACTAATTTCGGTCATAAAGTCTTCCCTTCTCGTGAAAAGTTGTCATTTTCCAGATGTGGTCCTACTATACCAATGTTGCGAATTATTAGTAAATTGACCATATTACACGTATTACACTAACCTACCAATAAGATATTTCTATGTAATAAAAAAAAAATATTTATGCCTCGCAAAGGTTTTACATTAATTGATACTGACCAGTCTTAATCTTCCTATACCCGCGCCAAATAATGTAGCACGAAGGTAGCACGTATATCCGCACACGGGGAGACCGAAAGTTCGAGGGCCATTATGTTGTTTAGTAAAATATCATTGTAATATTAAGTTTAATATTGAAACGAAATGTGTGAAATTGTATCAAAATATTGTTTATTTATTTGAGATAATGCAATATTTTATTACAGCCATTGTAACTCTTAATAATATTGTACAAAAACTTGAAAAAAAAAATATACCGTAGTCCGGGATTACTTTGTTTCTCGGGATTACTTTGATCAAAATTTCCTTCTCACATAAAACTGCAAATTGCGCAAAAGGCAACTACTTTTGGGAGAATTTTTTTCCGGTGGCAATACTGGTGAACAGTTAGGAATGGGTAATATAGCATTTTCTGAATATCGTATCGAAACTATATATCAATATTCTAAACCCGATTTCGAAACTATATATTTTCTGAAACTATATAGTCATGAATACAGCCCGCGTGCGCGCTGCGTTCATACCTTGCCGTTAGATTCGCTCTGGGCATTTTGGAGGGAAGTGTCGTTTTTATTTTGACTTTCAATTATTTTGTGAAATCTAGTTTAAAGTGGAATAGGATAGTGCTATTGTGCCTTAATCGAAGATTACAACGCGAAATTATACGAATCTCGAACTAAAATACCCGTATCGGCCCGTTCTAAGGAATCCCGAGTCAATCCAAGCACGTCGCCACAAATTGCCTATCCTCTTTGTGGCGGCCATATTTACAGAAACATAATTAAACGAAGACATGGCTCAAAGGACTTGTATCCAAGCCAAAATTATTAATAAAAAAAATACATTGCCGTTACTGATATACGGAATCAGATTTCGAAACTATATATTATTGGATATAGTTTTACAAGAGCAATGCGGGCCAATGTTAGTATATGTATAGTTTCGAAGACGAACAAAAAATGGTTTCGCGTTGATATTCACTCAGTGAATATCTGATACGAAGCTATATCGGTATATAGTTTGGAAAATATATGATTTCGTGTTGGTATCCACTCGGTAATCGCTCGGCTTAATTCGGCATCGCTATAAAATACGCGATGTGCAGCAATATCGATATATACTACTTAGTTTCAAAGATAGGCGATATCGGATATTCGATATTGGCACAATATATAGTTTCAATAACTATATACGATTTGTAAAACTCATTCCTACAGTCAAGTTGGGTGCGTTGGAGAGTTCCCTCTATTTTATGTACAAAAACGTAAGTTTTCCGTTACAACCTATTTTTAACGAAACAAATGTGTTGCAAAACTTCATGTGCAGCTCAGTGCGTGTTAGTATCATTAATTTTTTGGATAGAATCCAAAGAGTAGGTATAATGTACGTTTGTGAATTAATAACAAAATTTTTTATTGTTCTAACCTTAGTTCTAACTTTAATAAAGCTTCCGTTATGGCGTCGGTTTATTTTATGCGGGGTGTCATTGATAGGGTGCATGGTGTGAGATTGATCAAGTGTCAAGTCACCCCAGCCGCTAGCAGGAAAATTGGCTTTGTGTTTTTGCTTTTAACATTTTTTATATTATTTGTTTTTCAGAACGATGCCAGGAATATATAAAAGAAAACTAGGTTCCTGCGAGTAACGAAATTACTCAGAAGTCAGGTTAGAAGAAGCAATGAGTCAAATCGTGGACGTTAAGCTAACATCGGTACATCAGAGGGGAATTACAGCCTTATAATATATATTATGGAACTTTGTATAATAAATAACAACAATCTGTAATTAAAACAAAGGTTCTGTCATATTTGGTAGTGGTTCGATCAAAATTACCCCAACATATAAAAACAGCAATAACAGGAAAAAAATTAAAAATCAGTCAAATTTTTAATTTCTTTGCTGTTTTAGGATAGTAATTGGGGTTAGTTTCAATATTCATAGAATTATAAACAAAGGGGATTTCAAAGTAACCCCAAGTCAATTATCAAAAAGCATTGAAAATATTTTAAATTTTTATTGAATTGATATTCAATTATATTTTGTGAAATTACTACACTAGTTTGTTATAATTATTAATACAAAGATCGAACATTCAGAAAAAATTCGATCCGGCCGGATTCGAACCGACGTCTTCTAGCTTACCGTGCCAGACGCTATACCAACTAAGCCACGGAGCGAACCAGCGGCCCTCACGAATTTTTCTATGACTTGCGTTGTGTCTTTGTATTTGGCTTTTCAACGACTTTTTAGCGACATCTCTTGCCATGACTGGTAGCTGTAAAGGTACTAACGGGTGATAAATCTTTCATAGATTTCTCAGATGCGCTACCACTTAAAAAATTGTTTGAAAAATTGTTTGTTCTTTTAACGTTTTTAGAGAGAACTATTAAAACCGATAATTCGACATTTTTTTTTTAAATCACAGGATAAAAAGTTACAGACGTTTAAATTTCAAAATTGATCAAAGTAACCTCGGTTTACGGTACTTATTATAGTATCAAAATAAAATAAACTCTGAAATGTCAAAGAATAATATATAAAATTTTCAAAACCATCTCATTACATACATTAATTAGTCTAAGATTCAAAAACATATCCTGCTCAAAAATATTTCTTACTATTATATATTGAGATTTTTATTCCACTTAATTTGACTATCTTCGCCTAATAAACTAGAAACTTCTCCACACTTTCAAAACTATCGCCTGCTCTGTGTCATTTGTTTCACTTGTTTCACTTATCTATGATCCTCAAAATCATCACAATGTATGTGCAAATACTCCTGTTACGCTGAAATGAAGTCAGCCACGAATCATGCAGCTAGCAGTGGGTTCAAAGCTTTCACGTTTTCCGTTTCAAAAAAAAAAACACGGCAAACGATAATCGTCGGTTTGAGAGACCAATGCGCGGGTATAGGAAGGTTAACAATATTCTTCGAACCAGTACACGTTAACATACCACGTAAGTGAGATCCACTCGTGCCGCCTATTATTGAACCGACGTCTTTTCTTAACAACATTCTTTCTTCCTTATCACAACCGAGCAGTCCTGCAGCAGTAGGTACAGCGCGGTGTCCATGTGTGGTGAAATCATAGATTTAGTATATATACTAAATCTATGGGTGAAACGTACACATTCATACAAAAAAAACGCCACATCGGTGACGACGCGACGTGTGGAATTAACCTGATAAACGAAAACATGTTTATCATTACATGTGAAATGTCAAATCATAATTCAATGATCAAATATGTGATGATAATTAATTATGAATTAGGTTTTTTTTTAATGATTAATATATATAATTAACGAAAACTTTGTAACCATCTACATCACATGTGCATTCGTCACGTAACATAAGTCACTCGTATGCGATAGATTCAAGAGCGTAGTAAACAGATGCGACTTATTTCACTGACAGCAGTTCTACTGATTATCTTACAGATAAAAAACAAAATTAAAAAAAGTTATGAAATTTTTTTTGAACAAAAAATGCGCAATGTTAATTGGAAATTTGTATGGCAAACAATTTACACGAATACAACAATCTTCATTGCTCACAAAAACAAACAGCAGAGACCAAAACAAGACAAAAGACAAGGTACAACAAAGGGTATTAATCCTAAATACTTATCTCGTCCAGAAAAATATTTGCGTATTCAAAATTATATTATACATAATGTCGTACCCCGTTTAATTCTCAGACATGATATTTCCTAATCCCGTCTAATTTACGTGAACTAATTGGTATAATTCGCAAGAGCAGTTCCTGTCGACTCTTGGCTCCTGACCCTCGGAGATCAGGGTTCAAGAGAACATCCTAATAAACACTTGTCACTTGCAATTACTATACAAGTGTTATAACTTGTTTCCCATGTCCTCATCGCTGTTAAAAAGTCTTTTGATGACGTAGGTTTTTGACCATTATTAATCAGGTATTTTTAAAGTTTTCTGTACAGTGTTAATTCCTGTGACAGCTTTTATGGACGGTAACGTTTATTCTGGTTGATTTGTAAGATTGTTATGCTATTATATGGCTGTCAATAAAAAAAAATATATATTTGAAATTCAGCAAATCTCTCTTACTGCGTATAAATGAAGTGTTTTGATGCAATTATTTTGAATACCGAAGTAATACTGTTGATGTCTTTTATATGACGACGTACGAACGTGTGTACATTTCTGTTGTCACAAAAGAACTAATGTTTGGCGATAGCTGCTAACATGCGCCATGCTTATTTTTTCTAATGAACTCGATAGCCTGTTACATGCAGAACACTAACTTCTACACAACCACGTAGGCTTTGTTGTAGTCGTATAAAAAATCATTTTAAATTAAAAGCAAATACTTTTAATTTTTTTACGTAAAAGGCATACAAAAAAACAAGGCTGTTTCTTTCCTATAAAATAAATCAAAGTGACATATATTCTTCGAAATATTTATTTATTTATTCATAAAAACACCTCAGCTAGTCTGTAACGTATATATATTTATTAGTAGGTATAAGTTTATTTAGGTATATTTATATGTACATATATTTATGTAAGTATAATATATCGTTATTTATTAAGTATTTGTTAAATTATAAGATAAGTTTTTTGTATATATACATATATTTTTTATTTATACAATCATTTTTATTTGTCAATTAGCATACTACGACTTCCGCTCCAATAAACTTTCCTCTACCTCAACGGTCATCTGGAAGAGCTCTCTTTGCGATAAGACTGCCTTTGCCCACATTAGCTTTAAGATGTTTATGTACTGTTCTTGTTTTTGTGTGTGAGCTATAAAGTGTATATCTATCTCAGCTTACACTAGAAACTATATAGCTGAGTAAATAAAAATTAATAATGTAGTACCAGTAGAGCTCCTTGTGAAGAAGTTCGTCCAAGGAAGTACTGCCACCTTACCTAGTAATGTGAGTATTACTGTGTTTCAGTTTTGAAGGGTAAGGGCAGGTGAAATTACAGGCACATGTGACATGTCAACTTATAATATCTCAGGGTAACGAGCGTAATGGCAGTGCCACCCAAATCGATCTTGCGACTCAAAGCTCTGAGTGACACTGTAACTACTACGGACAGGCATGTCGCTTACCACCAGGCGCACAACTAGTACGTCCAGTAACATAGTAAAAAAATTGAGTTGAAAATTTTTCCGTTCTATATTTGCGTTAGCGTTTTTTGCAGTTTACAAAGGTTAATTTTTATAGCTTAGACTATGGCAGAGTTAATTTTATCTATATGCCAAACGTCCTATTTTTACAAACTTTTTCAAGGATTTTTGTGTACATTAATATTTTCGTCCCAGCTTTACAGTTGAGTTGGAAACAGGGGAATATAATTATTGTTGAGAAACTCTTCAATCCAGTATAAACGTCTCTTGAAATAATAACTTTCAAGAAAAACATCTAATAATTCGAATATTACAGTGAAACCCCGCTTTAACCTTACGTCTATGCATTTAAGTTACATTGTTTTTTACAAAATTATAAAACATAAGGCTTATACAGGTTTACAATGCAATCGGCAACTTTAGTAATACCGGAAAGCTTATAACTTTAGTACATTAATAAACTACAGCCATTTTAACTGCCTCCGTAGACTGCCACGCAGAGGTCCCAGGTTCGATTCCCGGGCCGGTAGAAATATTTGTATGGCCTACATTTACTTCTCTCGCGAGTTTGGGTGTAATTTGTGGTTGTCTATGTGTGTGTCCATGGCACCCACGATACAGTGTTTCCCTAGTGCGGGGCTATGTTAAGTGTGTGCGTTATTATTTTATTATCCATTATCCATTTTACGTCACGGATCATATCAAAATGTTGATGTAGCAAGATAAATTTTATGAGGATCACCGCGAGGCTGAACTGGTCAAATTACACCTTATTGCTGCCGTAAAAAGGTGTTTAAGTAAGGGCTGCAGAGTTGAAACATATTTGTGTTTTATTCAGAAGTTTTATTACTTACTACTTACTACTACTATTAACTATATGTAGTATAAATATATTAATGGATTGGTACATATTACCATACTTTTGTCAATAATATTTTAGTGCTGCAATGTGAAGATCAACATCTTATTTCAGTTTATGCCTTAGAAGTCATCAACTAAATTTGAAAACCGTGTAACTCCATTGGTGAACGAAATTACTTATTTAGTCTTCGAGCGCAGTATCGGACAATTAAAGCTTACAAAATATTATCTCTAAACCCGTTTGTAGTTATAAAATAAAGGAATAATCTCAGATTATCATATAATTATTCTGCTTTTTGTGTCTACTCAAAAGTGCACATTAAACGAGGTACGAGACTTACAAATTTAGCCGATGATGTAGAAAATATTTTTTTGAATATTACATATATTAAAACAACACTTATTCCTCATAAAAAAATATTTATTTACTATATAAACATTTACTCAAAAATTAATACAAATATCTCGACAACAAGACAGTAAATATAACATAAACTAAAACACTCTTTACAATACAGGCAGCACAAACTGTTGCGTATCGTTGTACAGAGGGCAGCTCAAAGTTATAGAACTCTCTATGAATTTCGTACCATTCTGATTTCTCCATTCTCTCTGGTGACCTTCTGAGAACCAAACTAACCACTCCGCTTGCTCCTACTTCCGAACATCTATTAATAATCAGCATCACAGGAGTGACTTTGAGAACTCTGACGACGTCAGGGTGGAACGGCGGTTCGTCGGGGTACCATATGTCTGGAAAGTTATACGAGTAACAATAACAGTTATTTAAAAAAAAAACTAGGACATTTCTAGGCCTTTAGTAAATAAAGGCTAGGTCAAAGATAATAAAAATGTAACAATTTGAAACTTTGATTTTTAATGTTGTGAGAATTCCCCAAAACAAATACATCTTTGCATTAATCATTATTTACTTTGTTTGGAATAGACAGCGATGTCACGTTACAAAGTTACTTAGTTGCAAAAAATATCAAATAAGTATACAGTAAATTAGTAATTATAACAAACTAGTGGAGTAATTACACAAAAAAAATTAATATCGTTGTAGTGAAATATCCTAACATTCAACAAACTTAATTATAACAATAAATTTTTAATTACATTTTTTATAACGAATATGTTTGTCCATTAAAGAAGATTTTAATAAATGGATTGGTACATATTACCATACATTTGGCATTTAACTACTTGACTTTGAAGTTTCAATCTTAGTAATCAGGGCGACACTAATTAATGTTTGTGTTTTTATCTATGACCGGAAACCGCTCTCCTTTCGTCGTTTCGATGTATTGGTGATGAGTACGATACACACCTACTCCTTTCTGTTTCATGACCTTCTCCATTGGCCGCCACTGCTTCTCTGCAGTCCACAAGCCTGGATCCTCTACTGAGTACAGATAAGCTCTCTCCATAGATTGTCCATCTTCATCCCACACCACCTGAGTAAATATTTTTATATCGTTTGTAAGGTTTTCGTGATTGTTACATATAGTAAACGAACCTAGTTTTTCGAATCTAAGTGGCGTTTTTTCAAACAAACTTTTACAGGTCCTGGTTTTACATGGTCACGGCTGACTCTGCCAGCCAGAGTCCATGGAGACCTAGTAAATGGGAATAAGATCCGGTAAATAAATACATTTCCTAAATGTTTTTTATATTAAATACTGATTTTTCATTAAATAGTCAGTTCAGTTGGTATTGACTCAACAAATTCATTTTAAAAGTATGTCAAAAAAGAAAGCAATTCAAAAACACTTTCCACCAATACTATACATAGTTCTTGATAAACTTTATAGATTAGCTATGAACCCAGAACAACGACGCCCAAAGTCATTTACCATTGTTTCTCAACGTTACCAACGCTTCATTCAAATAATTTGCTTGGAACAGATTTCCGACCTGGGAAAAATTAAAAAAAATGCTACCAAAAAGTCACTTGATAATATAATATACATACTTTAACTCGTCGCTCTTCGTAGTCTCGCTTAAATCTATTATGCATGGGGATGTCAAGGTCCTGGCTTGACATAACTATGTCAGACAAAGGATTACTTTTGTGCAACTTCCAGTTGCGATCAGTGTAATATCGGCGTGGGAACTGTAAGAAATCAAAATAATTGAAATGCCCAATCCTACCGTTCGTAACACATGGTAGCGTAACTGTCATTTATCTAGTTTATTCAATTATAATGATACACCAGATTTAATATATAATATCCGTCTTTACGTAGGTATTATAATAATACACTAAATTGAAAATCCAACCAGAATTTCGGCAATATGCTGACTAGTTTGTAAATAACTTGAAAGAAAACAGAAATAAACTTGGGCAAGTGAAATTTGAAATTACAACTTTAATGAACCACACTTGTGAATTGCCCTGTGAATAACAATAGTCTCTTATTCTGATTACCAACTGGTAAATCAAACAATGTACAGCATGATTCGCGTTTTGAAAATGGTACAGGGTCATCCCTATTAAAGAGATAGACGATGATTTTTTATATACTATTGTAAAAATTTCAGGCTTTAATTATTTCCTGCCAAAAAAATCAAAAATTTTAAGCTAGTGATCTCCGATTGTAAACGGATGTTGCCGAGTCGACTTCGTAGAATGTGATTGGTATTCACTAATTATCGCATTATTTTATTTTAAGTTACGCACTGAAAACGAATGATAACATTGTTTCAGTGTCCTCGCGAGAGCATTACGATTGTAAGTAGAGTAATTTATTTACTAATAAATCGTTTTTGGTTTATACTAAAATTTTAATATAAAATTTGCGTAACTAAACACTGCTGACGTGTAATAAAAAATTACAGCAACTTTCAATTATACTACTCTATTACTCATTTTAAATATCAATCAGTAAAATAGAAACAAACTCAAAAACACTAATTTAAATAATAAAGCAAATTACATAATCAAAAGTAAACATAAGTTAAAAAGGAAACTACTTACGGTCCAATCCAACCACTCATTATTGGCAACAGTCGCATCTGTAATGTATAGAGTAACGCAGCCAATTTCTAAAGGTCGATCTGACATGTCCAAAGAATGCTGAGCATAACCCACCCCATACCACATCCCATACACGTCTTCCATATGCACATTATGTGACCAGCGAATACTCGAACCGCAGAGACTGTATACCACGTCAAAAAAAGAAAAAATAACAAATGAAGACCACATATCTGCTAATTTTAACAAAGGACGCGAGTGAGACCAACGCGCGAAAAACAAATGAGATCACCTAGAGATTGAAATGGATGAAGCTAGTTGCGACAATTAGTAAATTGGTTCATACAGGTAATGAGTGGCGCAACAACGGTGCAGTTGAAGCAATGTCGACGTCCCGTCGACCTTTGGTGATGACTTTGGAATATCTTGCTTGCGAAGGTCAAAGGGCATTTTGATCGAATTTGAAATACTCAACGTATTCGCTATACCTGATATGAAATTTGTGGACCCTAAGAACAGAGCTCAACATATTAATTCCCTTTAAATAAATTTTTTTTTAAATAACGCGCACACTCAACATAGCCCCGCACTAGGGAAACCCTGTGTCGCGGGTGCCATGGACACACACATAGACAACCACAAATTACACCCAAACTCACGAGAGAAATAAATGTAAGCCATACAAACATTTCTCCCGGCCCGGGAATCGAACCTGGGACCTCTGTGTGGCAGTCCGGCATGGTAACCGTTCGGCCACGGAGGCAGTTATTTGCCTTTGCTTTTAAAGTAAATTAGTAAGTACTTTGTAACGTGTGTTTTATGTGTCTTTTCTTTGGACAATAAAGAATTATATAAATACCTTACTTGTACGAAATAGACGACTCCGTACTTCAACAGCTTATTATTATTACAATACTTTCAAATTTACATAATATCATTTTAGAATATGTATAAATTGTTATACTCATACTCGTCAGATGTACCTAATTTAAGGGAGATTAATTAAATAGTAAACAAAAATTATTAATGGTTTTAAAAATAATTTAATTCGTTTTTTGTTACAAAAACTACAAAATACATACATCAAAACAGAGAATGCATATAAAAAAAAATCAAAGAATATATTTCTATACCTTATACTAACTTTTCTATAAACTTATATTAACTTTAAAAAGTCTGTTCCGAGTTACTGACTACAAAATAATACTCAGACTTTACGATTTTACCAACTTTTCTGTAGAGTTTATATTTTTCACGGACATCAACCCTAATGAGGATACAATGTAAGTTAAGCTGAGATATATAAGACGAACTTAACTTCGCCTAAACAAAAATAGGGAAAGGTGCTAGTACAGGCACATGGGACTTGTTAACTTATAACCTTACAATAAATATTATAAACGAGTACAGTTAAGTCAGCAATAAAACTCTACATAAAAAGTTGGTTCGCTAACCTCAAACTTGAGATCTCCAAACTAAGAAACCAACCACCAAAATCAAGAAACCCGACACTTCAGCGCCATTAGCTGAGTTGTCGCACACTCTCTTCATAGACGAAGTAGAGAGATGCTTCAAGGTGAATATATTGTGAATGCTAGCCAGGTCTTCAGCCGTCAACTGGTGCTCATGGCGGGAGAGGATCACGCTATAGAGTTGAGAGTGTGGTAACCTCATGCAAAAATTTAGTACTAAGTGATTGTGTCCCATTTTGAGTACTTGTATCACGCCGCCGAAGAATCTGTACATTTTGTCCACAGCTGCAACGAAATTAAAGAGGCAGGTATGATTTTTATTCGTAATTCATTTTTCAACATTTATTCAAACCATAAGTTTAATAGTTTAATCTACTTTCTAACCGACTTCAAAAAAAGGAGAAAGTTCTCAATTAGACTGTATTTTTTTGTATGTTACGCGATTACTCCGACATTTGTGAACCGATTTCAATGATTCTTGGTAGTGGTCCCATTTAAATTTGAAGAAAATATTCCAACTCTAAGGGTGCCAAATTCACCCCCTTTCCCCGTATCTTGGCAAATAGAAGATTCCACAAACTTGCAGTCGGTTTATTTATAATAAAGTTATAATTATTGTATTTATTTGTTGTAAATATATTTACACAGTATTATAGTTTAAGAACTAATGCACTGTGAAACTAAGCTAATTAAGAAATAACAATAGGAAAGGAAAAATGAAAATATATTATAATAACACACTCGATTCCCCAGTGTCCATGATTTCATAGAATCTCAAGCATTCATAACACACAGCCACTCATCGCCTCGCAAGCAGATCACACTCCAATGTCGACACCAAGAGTCCGTTGAGCGTTGTCTCCGTACAACTGCCTCCGTGACCGAACGGTTACCATACTGGACTGCCACGCAGAGGTCCCGAATTCGATTCCCGGGCCCGCGAGAAATACTTACATGGCCTACATTTCTTATAGCAACCATATTGTGTTTTAAAATATTGAGGATGAGAGTCGACAAATATACAGATATAAATAATTTTTCACTATTCACTAGGGAAACCCAGTGTCGCGGGTGCCATGGACACACAAATAGACAATTACAAATTACACCCAAACTCACGAGACAAATAAATGTAGGCCATACAAATATTTCTGTATATGATCCCCAATGTACATGCATCGATGTGTACATGCTTGGCGAAGGCAATATATTTAGGTTTTTGAATAACGGTTTGCAGCTGTCATCGAACCACACATCGCAAATCGCAAAAATAACAAAGGAATCGAGAACTTGAGTTAGGCGTAAGGTAAAAGTATGACCAGAAAACAAATAAGTAATGAGAACGGACACTCTTCGCCCCTCCCTAGCTTTATATACCGCACCATGCCCCGCACATTGACGGTCACATTGACTGAAAGAGAACAAGGCTGACGGTGAGCCGTTTTCGCTCTAAGACGGGTTTGATGTTTGAATATAGTTTTCATTTGTTCATTACGAAATTTGTACGTTAATATATAACATCATTTTACGTTGCTATTTATAATGGTCGTGAATTGTGCTATATACGGCTATTAATATTCATCTAAACGGGATAAAGAGATGATTTCTTTCGTTTTTTGAAAGATGAAACGAAGTAAGTAAAAAAACTTATGTCTGCGATTCATTCAGTTATTGTTTTTTTTAATGCAGATATACAGGCAGTATATTTGGAAGTGGGACATACTTATAGAGTGCGTTATATTCCTGATTCTGAATCCAAAGAAATAATAAACTAATGAACTTAAACTTTACAAAAGTATTTATTTAATTTTTTTTATCGACTACTACTTGAGAACAACATTAGTTATCGAAATCTATGCACATCACTATTATTGCCCCGATGCCGCGACGGGTGGCAGCACGGTGGCGAAAAACAAAGCACAGGTTGGGGGTGGAGGTGCGGGCGCATACGCGAAATTGCTGTTTGCAACTTCGGACAGTGCACACGCAACCTTGATCTAACGAAGACACGTAAATTATTTGTACTTCCGCTCGCCCGATCGCCGCAAAATGGATATTTATTCTAACGTCGAATTGACTGAGATGGTGCAACTTTACGCAATAAGTGGTGATAGTGAGAGGCAAGCCATTGAAATGTTCCCAAATCGGAGTTTACGCGGAGGACGTGAACAGTATCGAAGTGTTGCGTGAGAGGATTATCTCAGCATTTATACTGTGAGACAAAATGTGTTTGTGTTGTACAATTTAAAACAAAATTCATTATGCCGTGCTAGACTATGCATTGTGGAAAACGATGGACATTTTGAACACTTGCTCCGCACCACGTCAGTGTAAATAAACTGTAAATAACTAAAAAATCAATCATTACGCCAAAAACCTCAATTCTTATAAAATGATAACTGGTTACTAAATCATAAACTGACCTTTTTTAGTACGTAAAACATTTCGATGATAGTTCAAGTAAAAAATATTTAACATAAGCTAAAACGTAAATGTGAAATCATTGTTATTGTTGCTGTCTCACTCGGCTCTCGCTTGGTAGTATTCCTATTGCACTCGAAATCAAGCGTAAAGGGAATCGGTTTATTCCTAGGTACACTTCAAAGCACATTTGTTGATTTATTTATTGTTCTATCCCATATCCTAATTTTATTTTAGTCTATGTTAAGTTGTAACATGATTTACTATGACATATATGAATATGTCTCACTTTCAAATATACAACCTGTATAATACAGATTTATTATATCAATATAATAAGACGCCATAACTTCGAGAGCTAGAGAAGGGTCTTCGAATTTTGAATTTGTATTGCCGATAAAATATTACGTAGTGAATAGGTATATTCACTACGTAATATTTTATCGGCAAAATTATCATTACCTAGCTAATAATTATTATCGTGGACACGCAATTTCAAATACTTTGGTTATCTTATTTAAAGGTATAACAAATAAGGAAGGTTAAGGAAATATAACATTTTAAGTGCTTTTAATTTTTTAAATAAATCTTCAATATTATTCAAGTTAGTGAATTAATAAAAAATATAATATTACATCGATATAAATAAATATAAATAAATAGTAATGAACAGATAACAGATTGCCGCTCTGACCACGTAACGTAATAAATGGTACGAGCAAGTGATGAGTAACGCTGCCACTTCTTTTTTTATAATTTCTGCGAACAGGTGATCCGAGTTAAAAGCGCGTTGGTGTTATTCCAAAAATCGTTAAGATTTTAAGTTGTTTGAGTGCATTTATTAGTCGGAATTTTGTTAATTATCTGTTATCTGTGTTTATTAAAACTATTAGTTAACTGTACAAATAATTTATTTTGTGTGTATTTATTGATGTTCGATCGTTTATATTTTATTTTAGAGGCATATCAAATACTGGTGCAAAATTTTCAACGCTTAGTAGTAGTTGACACCCATGTCGAGCAATCGTACAATTGAATATTTTTTTAAACTAATTTCGACCGTTTGGTAAGGACGAAGAACGAAGGTTTGGATTACTCCGTTAGTGACAAGTTTCTATATATAGTTATGTAGCTTACTCAAGCTACATAACTATATATAGAAACATATAGTGACATGAGTGTCAAAGGCTGTTTTTCTATAGGGAATTTCTTTTCAAATTCAAATTCAAATTCATTTATTTAGATAACTAGGATCCATAAGTGTTAGCAACAATGAAACTTATAATTACTTATAATTATAATTACTTATTCTTTATTTTTTTCCATCCTCTAAGGGAATTTCCCAATGTTTGACAATCGTATACTGAGATGTCAAATACTAGGACGTAACTAGTGTCAACTATTGGTACCTGAAGATATTGCGCAATGAGCAAATGCCACCAAGCGTGTTACATTATTCGGAAGATGAAGTGTCTAAAGGGATTGTTATCGCTGCAAGATGAAAATATTTACTAATGTTATTTAAAACTATAATAAATATCTTATGATCGTGTGATATTTATGTTTCATTTTAGTGTTGTTTTGTTATGAATCTTATTGTAAAGTACTTATTAATTTTAATAAAAGCATCTTGCTTGAATTTGGCTTTTGTTCCTCTTTAATTTATTGTTATAAAAGTAATGACGCAATTAAATAACTATGAAATCTTAACTAATGTTAGGACATTGACAGGGTCAAATACCAGTACACTGATCTCATTTTACCATAATCAACCATTGGGACATTAAAAATTTTGTCTGTCATAGACTGGTACAATTATAGCGGTTGCGGAAATCTGGAATATTTTATTAATGCTATGATTATTTTAAATTTTATAGTTCCTAGAAGATAAATGACAAACCGTTTAATATGTTGACATAACTAGGTAGTGAGTATGACTGATAATTAAGTACTTTTTTGGCAAAACACGTGATTTTCCGTCTAAAAGCGTCAACTACTGGGACATTTACCTTAAATACAAATATTTCGTAGGTTACCACGCTTTTAATCTTTAAAATATAAAAGGAACACTTTTCTCCTTATCGAATTAGTCATTGTAAATAAACTGTAAGTACTATCTCTATATCAGTATGTTTCTCGGAGAGAGAAAAAAACTGTACAAAAGTTCAACATTGACAACAATATAAATAAATAAATAACGCAGACACTCATATCTCCGCACCAGAGAAACCCTGAGTCGCGGGTGCCATAGACAAACACATTGACAACCAGATATTACTACCAAACTCACGAGAGAAATGACTGTATGTGATACAAATATTTCTCCCGGTCCAGGAATCGACCCCGGGACATCTGCGTGGTAGACCAGCAGCATGGTAGCCGTACAGCCACGAAAGTACTTTGCCGTAGTAGAGTCAAGTAAGAGAAGGTGACTACTCACATCCGTACGGTACATCTGTAGGCCAAAATCCTTTACGCGACGTGTTGACTTTTATATGGTAGTCATCTTTCCATAGACCTTCGTGCCATTCTAATATGAAGTGACGTATTCTGTGGGGCTCTTCGAGACCGAAGTTTCTGTTCACATAAGGGCTTGTTGTTAGCATATATGATGGATTGTTATTGTAGTTATTATTGGCGAGATATCGTTCATCATAGCCGTAGAGCGGGGGTGGAGTAGGCTGAAACAACAAACATTAGAAAAAATTAGTGTCTGCTCAACTCTAAATGCGATGCGGGAAAAAATGCAGAAAATACAAGTCTCAATACAACTTAAAATTGAGTATGTAGCCACGGTTAGGCAACAGACGCTGGTTCGAGTCCAACCAAATGGAAGAAATTTTTGTTTGTGAATTTGTCTTTGTATTTTTCGACCTTAGTGAAGTATTTTCACAAAAAAATGTGTGAATGTCATGGTAGTATGATAATAACAAATCTTTATTATTGTCAGTATAACATCATGATACTTAATATAAAATAAATATAGCAAACATTTTGGAAATTAATCTATTTTTTACATGGGCGTGTAAGGTGACTCGCTTAATTAGTGACTGTCTTGCTCATAGTTGTGTCTTGTTATATTATGCTGGAAACAGATCTTTCGTGTTAATTAAACCGACCTCATATCCCCTTCCCGTCTACGGGAACGACTAAGGATAATCATAATTAGGCCACTTGATAAACTCAATCAGACCACTACAATTGACTATGAAGGATTTTACGTGGTACTTAGTTATTAACCTTATGTTTCACCAAATAATTTAGTGAGTAGTTAGTAACGTAGAGCTCCCAGTGAAAGAGTTCGTCCAGGGAAGTACTGCCTATTTCTGTCGTCAAGCAGTAATGTAAGTATTATTTCGTTCCGCTTCTGAAAGGAAGGGTGCTGGTTACAGGCACAAGGGACTTATCAACTTATGTCTCAGGGTGAAGGCGCAATGGCAATGCCCCTTAGATCTTTGCGATGAAAAGCTCTGATTGGCAATGCAGCTGTTATGTACAGGCGTATCCCTTACTACCAGGTGCACGACTTATTTATTCTATCGCTTATCATAAAAAAAACTAGGGTAAGACCGTCTATTTGTCTTTTTTTTCTTTAATATAATGAAACTTACGGGCAATTAATTTGGGTCACCCGCAAAAAGTATTCAACAGGCAAAACGAAAGCAGGGAACTGATTTCACTCGAGCCAATTTAAATATTGTTTCAAGCAAATCAACGTATCTTGACACCGCTGAATATGACACCTAAGAAATCAATGTGGTTACTTTATGTAGTATCAAAATTTGAGAAATATTTAGAATTTAATTTTCACACTAGGCAGCAAGACTTTTTAAATTTACAATAGAAAGTTGTGGTTTCAGGGACAAAGTTTCTCTGTATCTTAGTAGTAACTGTAATATTAATAATAACAACAATTTTAATTCAAAATTAATAATTTTGGGCATGGAAGCGGCGAAAGTCTAAAGTAGATATCTGAAATAAAATAATAATAATGTGCCAGACTAGAGAATTCCCTGTTCTATGAGTATCAGAGCAGCGGAATTTCACTTCACTCTGGGGCACTTCCCTGACTTATAACAATGGATATGTGATAAGTTCAAAGTACTTCCTTGATTTTAAACTATATACAAGCGTACCCTCGGGGATACTTTTTAAAATCTTTTTAAAACTGCAAATTTGAACTCCAGGTAAATACCACAAGGTATGTACGATTATCAGTAAAGACTAGTAGGTGTGACCCAACGTATACTATGTATTAATAAAAACAAAGAAACTAACCTGAATATAAAGTTCTTTGATGTCGACGTAAAAGCACTCCTTCGAATATTCAATCCTGTACTCTCCTTTAGCATGGTGTATCTTCTCCACACCGTACCAGACACCAGCTATCTGATCCAAATTGATATCACCAAAGTACGGCGATAGATCATCACAGTACTTGTGGTTCTCCACATACGGTCTGTTGTAACTATTCATGTAACCGTAACCGCTAACTGATTCAGAACTGAGATAAAGTAGCAAGAAGCTGAGAATCATATTTGGATTAAGCGCAAGGATAAATCCGGATATAAATGGATAAAAGTTTCGGATAAAGTGAACCGGGCGTACTAGGCGAGCATACGCGCGCGGAGATGTTGTGCGGATTAATCGGAGGGATAGAATGTAGAGAGTGCAGCGGGACAACGACGGCGGCGGGAGGCCCCGTGGGCGGAATCTGAATGAGCCGTGCTCAATTGACGATGCCTGTGCGGTTACACTGCTAGTAATTTACTAGTTAGGGATACTTCCGTAATAAACATTACCGTCATAGAAACAGACCCCCTTGTAAATACAAACTACTGCAACAAGTAGACGGTTTCGTGGCTCTCTATAGGAACAGAAAAACTTTAACACTATTTTCTTTCAATGAATTTTCGTAAACATTCTTAACACAGAAGGAGCACAACTTTAAGATTTTCCAGCGGCTTCTCAAGTTTTCCGCAAGTGGACGCTTTCCTCGGCATACTTAGACACCAGGAACACATATCTTTTAGAATACGAGCAGTAGAAAATCAATACTCAGCTATGACGTCACGAGGGAGCGTATCGACGGGGTCGCGATTCGCGAGTCGTATTTATTGATCTATGATAAGGTGAGTGCGACAACATATCAAAAAGGCGGCTATGTTTATTTGAGCGCAGAAAAGAGAAGGAACCATATTATAGAAAAAATACTTTTTCGGTTAATTTGTATCATCATATATATATATATCATAGGTTTGACCTATGATACAAATTAACCGAAAAAGTAATTCGAAAACTTAATGAACAAAAAGTAACGAACGTTCAAAATGCCTATAAGAAAAATGAAAGAACAAATACGTTCGAAACAAAATTCAGAATTTCGTATCAAAATGCTGAGTTGTGACTCAGTGGAGTCGTGACTTTTTATTGGAGGGTGACAATTGACGGTCTGCGCCACGATTGTACTCGAGGTTGATGAGGAAAACTGCAGCCAGTAGTAGATACAACCTCCGTTACTATAGTGTAATTTAGGTTAAATACAACAAAAGTTAATCGAATAAACACTAAAAAACTTATAGAATAACGTGATACAAATGCAAAATATGTTTCACTCAAATATGTATATTTAGATACATGGCAATAATAGGAAGTCGACGTATACCTCAAAAATACTGTCACTTACTATTAGTTAACTGCAACACTGTATATATTATAGCAGTAGAGCTCCTTGTGGAAGAGTTCATCCAGGGAAGTACTGCCATCGTACCTATTTCTGCCGCCAAGCAGTAACATGAGCATTACTGAGTTCCGGTTTTTAATTTTAAGGATTAACTCCTTTATCCTTTATATTATATATAGGGTTTAGGATTATGTCTCATTGTGACGGGCGCCGTGACTCTGGAACTGTTACGGATAAGCGTGTCGCTTACCACCAGGCGCAGGATTTGTTCGTCCCATCACTCGGTATCATAAAAAAGAATTCCTTATATATATTAAAGCTTTCAAATCCTAGCTTTCCTGATCATTTTTTTTTTCCTCTTTGATTTTCCTCCCGTCTATTTCGTAACTTTTACTTTGACGTAGGCATAAAGTAGTAGTTATTATAATAGTAATAAATAAACTTACATCACGTTATAGGTGATCTGGGGGTCTACTCTCGACATCCGTCCGAAACTATTACTGCCAAATAAGCAATACTTGACCAAATGAAAAGACGCGTGATGCGAATGAAGCTTCATACTTGATACTTGTATTTTAATTTTGTCGAATATTACTTATTTGACAGTAATTGTTTCGGACCAATGTCGGACGGAGATCGAGAGTAGACCCCCTGTAACGAAAATAAGCATAACGTACGTACAGTCCCTTTTTCTATTCCAGCTAACTTACCCCACCGACCTGGAACGGACAATATTCACATTCCCAACTTATTATTGATTAATTTATTATAAATAATACATATTAGAATATAAAATATGACGAGCATGAAGTAAAAAGGTGACGAAAGTACATCGATTCTAGATAATCTAGGTACATAACAAGCGTTATACACACCCGGGCAACATACTGCTGAGGTGTTATTAAGACGTGGATTCTAGACCTAGACGCAGACCGGTATTAGACTAAACTCCACATAGATATGCGCTCTTGGTACTTTGGTATTCAGTATTGAGACGCTAGGGTAAGCAACGTTAGATTCGGTTTTGACATTAAAATTTATATGATAGCAAAGAAGTATTTACTATTTATAATAAATATCTGTAAGAAATCTTCAGATGAGACTACCAAGTAAGTAACATCAGTCACCACTATGTTGATAACAGCTTTAATCAAAATTTTCTTTTGAAATCGAATAAAACAAACTTTTCTGGATATTATACGAAATTTTATTTTCCGATAAATGTCATCAGTTTCCCAATATTTCACACTTAGGCCTTTCACTGTGAATATATGGCTACTATCGTAATCTACACATGGTTTCTAGTGTTATTATTATTGATCTTCTTATATACTCGTATATGAGTAGTATACGTTAAAAACACACACATTTAAAAGATGTATGCACCACTGGCAAAAACTCGAAGCTATAATGGTTATTTTTTTTTATAATATCAAGTGATGGGACGAACAAGTCGTGAGCCAGATGGTAAACTACACGCCTGTCCATAACAGTTGCACTGCCACTCAGAGCTTTAAATTGCAATGATCTGACACACACAAGTAAACAAACACAGTAATGCTGATATTACTGCTTGGCGGTAGAAATGGGTAAGTTGGCAGTACTTCCCTGGACGAACTTGAAACACGCTTCTGGCGCTGGTGGTAAGTCCTGTTGATTGTAATGAAGCCTGGAGAGTGTAGTAGCCTCCGCAGGCTCAAAAATTTAAAATACAAAATTCAAAAGAAATAATGGAAATAAATCCGGTTTTATAGAAAATATTGAGTTTTTTGTGATCTTTTAAATGTTTATCACACAAAAAATTTTTGGTAACTGATAAAAGGGTCAAAAATAATTGTAGAGCAGACGTGATCGCTTCGGCGATTGGGCAGGGAGTGACTGGGTCAAACGCAGAAAAATGAACCAAAACGAAAAATCGCAACTCAACTGATAAATAACGAAACTGATACATAAAGCTGCGAACACATATGTCAAGGTCACTAGACTAATATCGTTATCTGGCTTCTTATGTATATATTTAAAGTTGAGTAAGTAAAATGTCATGGCATATTTACCAAAATATTTATTTTTCTTTATAACTTCTGCTCTACAGAAATTACATTAGTCATTACATTAACATAAAATTTACACATCACAATGCACATACATCTAGTGAGCAAAATTTTACTTGGATTGGAACTTTCAAATGTCCATTATAATACAAAATAAACATATTTAAACAATAAACCTACTTAACGCATTACAATCTCAAAATTAAAATTGCGATCTTACTCTTATTTTCTTTTCTTTTCAGTACTGCTTCTTCTTTCTTTTGTTTTATTCTCACTCTCCATATTTACGTCTTGCTGTCTTTCTATATTTTTTTCATTCGTTTTTCCTTTAAGTAATAAAAATAATTTATTTCTCTTTAATTGTCATTCTTTTCCGTTTGCTTCATTAGATCCACTTAATTTTATTTTTTTACTTTTTTTTTCAGTATCACTTTTGTCATTTTTCAATTTACGATATTTTTTTTGCCTTTGGCATTCGTCAGGGTTGCCATTTCCGCAAACGAAATTAGTTTTAGTTAATTTTTTTTATTAATTTTATGCACGTTTCAGTTTGTTTGTCATTATAATTAATGTATATGCAACTTTATATTTTATCAGTTTCGTAACGTAACGAAACCGTTAAGAATATCTGATAAATTCTTAAGTCAAATTTTTTTTAACCACAGCATTTGCTTTTCAACTGTAATCTCAATGAATTTAGGAGTATATATGTATCAGTAGCTTTTGATAAATAAATATTCAGAAATACACTTTCATAATAAAACACTCGTTAATCACCTGATAAAATATTTTACAAAATACTTACCTAACTCAAACGTCCAATTTCTTCGCCGTAACAAAATGGCTGTTAATCACAAAGATTAAAACAAGGTTCAAAGAGTGTTGCCAATTTAAAAAGAATATTGTGTATATTCAGAAATGCAGGAGTTTATTTTTAAAAGCTGTGTAACTAACACTTAGTAGTTCGCTACTACTACATTGATTTATTTAGGACAATAAATGAAACCATTTTATCCATGTAAATTATAAAGAATTGAATTGAATCAGCTTTTAGAAAATGGTTTATTATACCTTTAAGGATAATCACTACCAAACTTTGGCAGTATAATTGCTTATAAACGTAAGTTATCAATGGAATGGATACAATGGTCGCGGTAGGACATTTCAAAAAAGTATGAAGGGTATTTCAGCCTCTTTTTTTTGACATTGAAACATTGACTTACATTGAAAGTATTGAATATATTGTATAATTTTACCCTAGAATTAAATATTTCATGGGTGGAAAGAATAAACATGGCAGAAAAGAAAAAGGTTTTAGTCTAGTTTCAAAACTAAATTTTACAAAGAAATTTTAAGTTGAGGGACATGTAAATTTTAAAAAGGTACATTTTTTTTCTAAAGGTTTAAAAAAGGTACGTTTGACCCGACTACGGGACGAAATAAAAAGAGAATAGCGAGGCAAAGGGACTTAAAAAATGATTCAAAGATTGAAAATAAATGGCCAGCAACCAGAGCAAATGTGATAAAAAGGTGGGATGACGATGTAAGGAGGTCACATCGTCACAAACACTCTCACAAAAAGCTCTACTGCTACTAAAACTGTCAGTAAAGTAGACTGCAATAAAATAAAGAAAACGCTGTTAAGTAAATGCACCCTTGGTGCAATAAAGTCATATCTGCAAAATGTCAACTTTTTCGAGAGAGGTTTAAAGACTATACAAAAGAAATTAGTCTGTTAAACGATTTTTCTTGCTTAAATGGGTGAGTTATAAAATTTCACATATACGTAATTTGTTTCATGTAATTCGTTTTATTTTTATGACTTTCATGTAATTAATAGTTATTTGTTATGCAAGGCTGCAAAATTGTTGTTTGCCGCGAGTGCTTGTATTGAAACCTGAGCAAGCGAATATAGCTAAGATTCAAATATAGATTCCTGAGCATAGCGAGGGTTTCAAGACACGAGACGCAAAACAACT